GAACATCCCACTAATGTGTCCTGGTGGCAAACGCAATGCTGCAACATGTACAGCCACTAATTTATGGCATGTGTTAAGCCACAAATGACCATCTCCCCAACCCCGGACTCCTGCTGTATGCTAAAATCCCCCTTAGCGCCTGGTAGGATGAGATGTGCCCCAGCTATTCTGAGACACGAGGGAGAGAATGCTCACCGCGGGGTAGCTTAGCCATCTTGGGACTGCAGCTTTTGATGCACTCTGGCTTCACACAACCCACTTCCAAGTGTGCTGGGCTTGAAAGGTGAGCTGTGGCCTAAGCACACGGCGAAACAGTCTTCTCCCGGTGCCAGCAAGTTCCCCACTGCTATGCCACCTGACTGCCCCATCTTGGCAAATCGAGAGGGAAGTAGGAATCAGTTCTTGGAGCCTTACAGAGTCCAGCTATCTGAATGGTACATGGAAGATGCAGAGCTGTCGTGGAATGCATGTCATCTGATTCCATATCCCCCTCTCTCAGCAGCCTGGTTTTCAGAGACAGTTACAAGAAATCCCATAGGTGATAATTATAGAATACATTTGGTGGGAGCTAGGATGTTGTTTAGGTTTCTTTCTTTTTTTAATCTGAACCAGTCAGTGGGTGTTTTATGGCCAGCTATCGAAAGATTTATTGCTTATTCTCTCTGCAGCGCACACACAGAATTACTTCTAGCTCTTGGTAATCCAGTCAGTTTTTCTTCCTCCTTGGCATTATTTATTAATTTCATGGACATGTCATGCATGTCTTCCGTTGCGGAACCTGAGGTTACTCTGGGAGAAGGACCATGCTCAGCAATGCAACAGGGGCTTTGCCTACATTTCCATCCCTGGCATCTCCAGGCACGGCTGCAAAAGCGGCCTTGTGAACATCTGGAGAGTTGTTGCCAGCAGTGGAATGGTACATTAAGCACCCTTCCCAAAGCCACATCCCCAGCCAGAGTCAAAAATTGCAGTCAGCTGTGTTGATCCCTATCAAGAAACTAACTCAAGGAGTTTTTATCTGCTAGCTCTTGTGCAAAACTCATGTGTCTTGAGTGTCCATTTGAGACCAAGCCACTCTGGAATACCATGCTTTGCAACAAGAATATGGTATATTATACAATAATATATTGTTGCAGCGGGCGGGAGGCGGTGGGGGGGAGCAGGGCCGTCTTAACAGCATTATGGGCCCCAGGCAAAGCAGTGTACTGGGGCCCCTATGATAACTACAACTACTGTTAATTTTGGAAGTTTTCCAATTTTCCAAGGGTTAACATACACAGATTAGTATGGGGCCCACAGGCAAGTGCCCATCAGGCCCATGCATTAAGATGATCCTGGGAGAAAGTCTCTACTGTGAGTCTTGCAACTAAACTTAGAAGAACCATGGAATTCTGAAGGGGTGGCAGATGATATCAATGTCCCTGCTAATTGAAATAATTACTGCTGCCACTCAGTGACCCAGTTTACACATAACTGCCCATTCATGGTTTAAACAACCAAGGAGATGGTGTGGCTGCAAGGAAGCAAACTTGCACTAGCCAAAGGTCTGTCTGTGAAGTTTATTTTGCTTATATTATTGAAGTGCTTTCCTCCTCCTATTAAGCAAAGCAGGTTCTTGAGCTTTGCAATGATTTATCAACCCAACCCTTATAGAATCTTGTTTTCTGTTCTGTACCACTTTAGCTTAAACTATTTCAGAACAATCCAAGTCAGTTCCGTATGACTAGGCACATTTGTGAACCTTATTTTAAAAGAGCTGTTCAAAGCTATTGTGTGATTCAGCTGGACAAAACTGCCATATTACTTCCCTTGCCCTCTCTTTCTTTCTAATGAATTTGTACACATCACACACCTTCACATCTGTTCACCTAGATTTGTTATCTTTCAGCTCCTTAAGAAAAAAGATCAGAAGCTGAACCCTGCAGAAACTCCCATGATCAGAGTTCCACTACTTCACAATCCTGTCCAGAGGGTCTTCCCCCCCCCCTTCCCCCCCTAATCAGGATGGGGGGTCGGGGGGAGAATGAATATTTACAGGATTCATTCTGTGATGATGAAAGCTGAAACAGAAAAGAAATGTGACAAGTGCTGGTCTGGATACCCTTTAATTGTATTTCTTTAAAAAATGTGTTTAGAAAAGTGACATGAAAGCATCTAAACATTGAAATGCTTGACCTACTTTTATTCCCTTTTCTTTTGACAACTTGCTTTGGTCAGATGGAGGGACATAAATCTACCATTTAGACTTTAAATACTGACAAGGTACCAATATAACAAAAGTTGCAAACTTGATTTTATAAGGAAGTTCCACTGGAATAATGTGCATATGAGAAAATCAGGGCAGAACTGGATTCACAAATTGTAGCAGAATAAGTAAAGCATAACAAAGCTTCCCATTGCATATAAACAAATTTGCTTACATAAAGCAAATATGTGCATGCTTTATTTGCTTCCCAAATTACATCACAAAACAGTGGCCATTATTTTCAGACTGAGAGATTTTTGGAAGGAAGTGGTGGAAGCACTCCATTCCAAAATGTTGGTGCTGACTATTCACAAAACATCTTACTTCCAGTCTAGAGGCCATAATTGCTGCTGATCATGACTGCTGAGGATGGATTCCTCCTCCATCATTTGTATGTTCCTATATTTTCTGCTCTTCCCCTTTTAAGACCTCTTTTTCCTTGCTCCTGCTGCTTCCTTCTCTCCTATGATCTGGCCCATTCCTTAAATGTCTATCTGTCTTCAGTTTTCCTCTTCCACACAGACTGTCTTCAGAATCCTCTATCACAGCCTTTCCCAGCTGGACCTCCAGATATAGAGGACCACAATTTCCACCATCCCTGTCCACCATGGTCATAGTTTTTGGTCATAGCTGCTTAGTTTACTTGTAACATCAGGGCTGCTTAACCAGTCACTGCCATTAAAAAAAAACTTTGGGCTTGACCTTTGGGACCAGATAAAGTGGCAAAATCTTACTCATTGTTTTCCTGAAAGATGTAAGCATGGATTATGAATTTCACATGATAATCAGTTGCAGTTTAGTTTTGTGGTATTCCCAAGATGGCTGGTGAAACTCCTCTCAGTTTAAGTAATCAGTCATCTTTTATCTATAATTTTGACATTTTCCATAATGTGGCATGGAATGTGGGATGTTCTTTTGTTACCACCTCCCAGAGCAATGGATCCACAAAACGTTGGACAGGTAGGGAAAGGGAGTCAATTCCAGAGGCAAGCACAGAAAGAGGCAAGCACAGAAAGGTGTGAAATTTGCGGACATTTTACTAGCCTCTGAGGGAATCAGGCCTCCCAAAATTCAGAGATCGGGAAATTTTTTAGAAGCAGTTAAAGGACATGTACATTCCCTAAGCTTTCCATTGCATGCATTGCTAGACCAAGCTATTCTCCCACTTGTAATATGTGATCAAATGACTTAGAACTGCGTCCAGCCTAACACTTTGCTTGGAACATAATACAAAATTGTCAGCGCATGAACATAAATACAAAACTTAGGGTGTGCACTTTGGGTCGCCTTGAGCGCCATCTGCCATATGGTGTCACTGAGCTGCTCTTCCTTCAGCACCAGGAAATAGGATTTAATTGCATGCCATGAAAGGATTATTCATTCAACAGCAGGGAGGAAAGGAGCCTCCAAGTGTTCCCATAGCAGGAAAGTGGAAGGAACTATTCCTCCAGTTTCTCATTTTTCAGTAGCTCTGGAAAACTCAACATGAACTTTATGGACAAGAAGCACCACATTTTTTAATCTAATTTTTGAACAGGCATGTTAAAGCAGCACCGTGGAGCATGTGGCTATAACAGTTGACCCTGACAAAAGATCTCAGGTGTTTTCAGTATGTGAAATACAGACCTCTTTCCCCATAACTTACAGTAATGTTGTCTCTTGTATAAGCAACTATGTTTTCAATAGATACATCGATATCATATAATGTGCAATTCCATGTCTGTTTAGAAAAAAAAGCCCTGCAACTCCGAGTATGTCCCTGCCATCTATTCTGGCTCGGGCATGTTGAGTTGCAAGCTTCTTTTTCCATCTACACATGCATAGGACTGCACCCTTAACATCCTAAAGGCAACTCGTAAAGGTCCATCCTATTGCGGCTGATGAGTACAGGGAGAAGGGTGGTCCCTGTCGGCAGACCCAACAAGCTCTATTACCTTCTCCCCATCCTTCTCTTCTGCACATACCCTAAGCACACTTGAGCATTCAATACATGTAGCTTTCCCAGGAATGAGGATTTCACAGCTTGGGGTCCTGCTAGATGCAGTGAAATCAACATTCACTAGGTTTGCAGCAGCAAGAAAAGTCTGACAAAAACCACTGCAAGCACCTATTTCAGAACTGGAAAGGTTTTCAGACAAAGAGTTGTAATATGCCAAAGGTCGTATAATAAAAACATTGCAAACACCCATTTCAAGGCAGGTAAAGTGGTTACATGGGGGGCACAGAGAAACTATATAAATATGACAACCAAAAAAAGGATTGCAGTGTGTGTGAAGTAATGCAAATTGCTATCTGTGGTGCCCCTCAAGACTACTAAGTCCTTTTAGCCAAATGAGCTAACTGCACTGATGCTCAGCCTTATACCCAAAGTGCTTCTGCAAAATGGAACCAATCATACTTATTGGGTTGCTATCAGGATTACTGAACCAGTATAGAATAAGTACTTTGAATGCTCAAAAAGCAATTAAAATGCTAACTCCTATTAGTAGTAGCAATAATGAAATTATATAACAACAAAGAATAAAATTAAATGGCCCTACAGCATGCATTTGGAAACTTAAAAAGCAGAACAGGCAGCTTAACCCTTCTCTCTGTTCATAATGCAAGGAAAGAGCAGTTATTTTGTTTAGAGTTATTTGCCTTGGCCTTTTCTCAAAAAGCCGTGTTTCTTCATTCTTGTTGGTCAGTGCAATGGCAGCAACATCCATCCTAAGAGTGAATTTTGACTTTTAAAAATATTTTCTCCCTTTTACAGTGGATCATTTCCCCCAGCTTCCCTCTGGGTTAGCCTGAATTGGATGATCTGCCCATGTGTGGCAATCGCACATGCTCAGTTCATCCAAACGAAGCTACTGAGCCCTTGAAGGAAGAAGGCAGGGGAATCCAGCAGCAGTGTGAGCAGAACTGCATCCAGAGCAAGCAGGATGACAGGTAGTGGGTCCATGAGTGCCATGGACTTTGGCTGGCACGGCCTGCTCTCCTTTGCCCTGTGCGGTACCCTCCTCTGCACTTGTCTGTCTTCCCTTCTGTGCTAGAACCGTTCTTGTGCTGATAGTCCCTCAGTCTCTGTCTGCAGTCAGCTCTTCAAGATGCTTCGAAGAGGATCATCATCTGTGAGAATTCCTGTTTGTGGATGAGTTCTTATTATAGCATCCGGAGGTGGCCTGCATGTGCAAATAAGCCATTAGATTTGTATACCCGTGTCAAAACTTTAGCATCGCCTCCAGCTGGGGCTACGGAAAGCCACAGCATATGCCACTGAGACAGAAAATCCTCTTCTGCTCCACAATTAAGCCTGAACCTTCCTCTGTTGCTTTCTCTGGGATGGGTTCACCTGAGAAGCTCAGCCGAAGAATACAGCATCACTTCCAATGCTCTGCTTTTCTTTGGGGTCAGATTCCATATCCAGCTATGGGCTGACAATTTTTTCATAACCAAGTCATCAAAAATCAGTCTTGAAAGATCCTTATATGCATTATAGACTTACAATACCCAGTGCTTCCTGTATGAACCCATTCCGGAAAGACCAGATGGAAACAGGCTCAAATCAACAGTAGCGTAGATATTCCGCAGTTCAGCCCAGGTCCCTATTCCCTGCTGGGAAGTGTCCTGGGGAAAATTGGACTTGGGCTGCTAGGGTTCGAGAGCCCTGTGGACCAGCTAAAGATCAGTGTAGGATAAAACACCCTGTGGGGACTGAAAGTTTGATCCCCTAAATTAGAGCTGTCATCTGGATGTGCCCTGACAAACCTCCCCCCTGTGTCCTCGGTGTCATTTGTCTCCTTCCCTGTTTCACTGTAACAAGGCGGTATTTTATTGCTCAGCCCGTCTAGGGGGACGTGGGCAGAAATGGTTTCCTGGTGTTAATGTTCACTTGTGGGCGTTTTTTATTTATTGAGGTAGTTTGTAGCTGAGTGGAGTCTAATTGGGGGGAAAAAACATAACATACAATTTATCCCCATCACACTGAACTCTCATTGAGCTGACGGGAAAGAGATGAATTTCAAACAGTCCCAGCTGCTCCTCACATTGCTGTCAAACTTGGCCCAATAAATCTCTCCCTTCATATGTATGGAATAAGATTTAGTTCAAGTGTCACCTGTGAAATCCCTCACAGGATGGTACTTAAAAACACAAACCCCAGCAAAAGCGGAAATGAAAACAGTAAAAAAAAAAGATTAAAAGGCAGAAGTTGGTGGGAGAGGCAGGGAGGAATGGAGCAAAGGGGAGGAGAGATTTAAAAAGAAACCAACCCACATCCAGAACCTTGCCTGCTCTGATTTAGCAGCTGTGCTCAGCCAGTAGCTTACCTAATTCACATTCATCCACATCTGTCATGCTGCTTAAAAAAAATGCAGGACAGAGAGATAAGAGCATCCAAATCCAAATCCATAGCCCATGTTTCCTCTGGATGTAAAAAGACCAGTCCATCCTCCCATCACACGCAAATACAGCATGACATCAGAGAGATACACATAGCATTTATTTTCCTGCAGGCCTACTCAATATAGCAGCGATGTTGGATCCAGCCCATGGGCCAAATCCTTCTTCTGGTCCCACTCCCAGTCTCCTGACCACCAAAGATCTGGTGGTTCTGTAGCACATTTCCCCCTGTCTAAAAGGCTGAAAGACTTAGCAGCGAGAGCTTCAAACTAAAATCTGTTGGGCTTTTTTTCCAGCTCTTTTGGCTCTGTCCACTATTGGAATGTGTCCCCTAAGAGCATCTTTGAAATTGAATTCAGCTCTTGGGATGAAAGAGACTCAACAACCCTATAATGCAATGCCCTCAATTTCCAATTCATTTATGATGCTTATAAAAATTTACAACCTTTCACTGATCATTCACTTTTTTATTTAGGCTAACACAGAAGAATTTCAACAGAAACGCAAGATATTCTACCCAAGGCTATATTATACCTTTGTATTGGTGGGATCCACATTGACAGTGAGTAACCAGGAAGGATATCTTGGAGTGGTGGAGCCCAGCTCAGCAAAACGGCAGCTGTTATCTAATGCTATGTTAGGGATTTTTAGAAAGAGGACTGAAAGCAAATCCGCTGGTTGGCTATGCCTGAAAAAAGGCTGTTAGAATGGTTTTTTTCCTAATAAGTTTTATTTGAAATTATAATCCTAAAAACAAAGAAAAACTAAAAACATCAATCATCAAAAACATCAGGCCTGCTGGGTCAGCCCCCACATTTTTTTTCCATTTATGATAACTTAAAAACGTATTTAAATATATATGAAGTCCCGTTTCTCTAGTCAATAATAAAAAGAGTCCCAAGTTTGATAGAAGTCAGTATCTTCTTTCTCCTTCAATGATAGAGTCAATCTATCCATTTCTGCACAGTCCAAGATCTTTTTTAGAATCAGTTCGACGGTGGATAGTTCTTCACTTTTCCAGTGTTGAGCAAACGTAATCCTCACCGCTGTGATTACATGTAAAATCAAAGAATGTTGTATACAATTCTGAATGTCTCCTCCTTAAAACTGGAAATCATAAGACTGTGGAAGAAGGCAATGAAAATATCCAAGTTTGTGTCATATGTGACATAGATCACCAGAGCTGCTTTGGTGTTGCCTGGAAGTCCTTCTGAGTCAAGAGGTGGACCTCAAGTTGGGCAGATAAGCCCATTTTGAATGTAAGCACCCTTCGCACTCCAACCATGCCCAATGATCATCGCATAGGGTAGCTAGGTGTCCCACTTTACAGTGGACAGTCCTTTATTTGAAGGTGTCCTCTGTCTAAAGGACTGGCTAGTTCAAGATAAATTTAATGATAAAGTTCTATAAGAATGAAAAGCCAAGGGCCTTGAGGTGGCCCTTCAACAGTTAGCACTGAGACAGCAGACTCTGGAGGCACAGTGGTGGCCTGGGCACAGTCCTCTTAACTCTAGGCCTCTAACTCGCAATTACGCATGCAGATTGACATATCCAAATATTATACAGATTGGTATCATCTTTTTTGGCAATGCATTTCTTTCTTTTTGGCAGTGCGTAAGTGGCCATCAAGCACCTTCCCACTAAGAAAAGGCTAGAAGCACCTTTCTCAGCCTTGATCCCTCCAGTTTTGTTGGAGGACAGCTCCAGTGGGATTATGACAGGGTTAGTCTGACACACTTGGAGGGCACCAGGTTGGGAAAGGTATTGAGCGAAAACATCTAGGACTCTTTAACTGAGAAAAAAGGGCTGACTAAGTTTATCAATACATGCATGGATGGCTAAAATGGAGAGAGATTTCTTCTTCGATACTAGAACCAGGAGTCAGCCAATGAAATCGATCAGTAGCAGATTCCAGACAGGCAGAAGACAGCACTGATTTACATAGCAAGTAAATCTCCTTGCTCTCAGTTAGAGGACTTGCAGTCCTAGTGGGGAACGGAGTAAGAAAAACAGGCGGTGCGCAGGCAGAGCACAGCTCATCAACTGCTGTCATTTAGTGGCTCTCCAAAGGTTCAGCTGCTGCACCTGCTTCTTCCCTGTCGCTTCTGGGTGGGTGCTAAAAAGAGGGGGGGAAACCCACACTGCACTGCACCAACTAATAGCCAGCAGTTGGGGAGTGAGATAGCATGAAAAGTGATGGGAAATGCCAAGATGACTTAATGAGAACTGATTTTGTGGTGCACTTGGATTCTGGATGGGGTGGGCTAGAAGAAACCTGTCCACTTCCCACTTGCATTTGTCTTGTTATCTTCTCCTTTTGAGCTAGTTGACTGTCTTGGTAACATTGGAAGGATTCAGGGGTGGAATATGAGCATACCTGACCAGCTTGGAAAATATCTCTTGGCTTGGCTCTCCCGACAATGCTAGATTGATCATTTCAACAGCAGCAGATACTTGGAGAACACCCTGAAATAAATGCGAGATGGTGACCGTGACATTTGAACCTAAGAAGAATCACACTGAATCCTACCTAAGGCTCATGTAGTCCAGGACGCTGTTCACACAGTAGCCCACTAGTTGCCTAATCAGGGCATGCATGCAATTTGCTCCTTATGTGACTGGTGATTTTCAGTCCTGCATCCATATGATGAGCATCCTCCAGAGAGGCTGACACCTGAGGACAGCTGGTGTCATCTTGGGAGCGTGTGCATGCAAGTGAGGATAATGAACGAGTGTGTGAACATCTCCTCCAATTTATACAGAAGAAGCATCTGCATAAGTTTACTCCCTAAGTGAGGCCACAAATGGGAACACACTGTGGTTAGTTTACCTCATAACAGCATGCCCTGAACTAAAGTATGCAAACAAATCCCATTCCAGGGAGTAATTCCTATTATTAAAAAAATGCCACCCGCATTATGCATGTGCAGATTCCTGCCCTTTCTTTGATTCTGGCTCCAGAAAGCATCATGCTGCTGATATATTCTGATCTGCAGCAGTATCTTGAGTCACCCAAGCCAATTACTAAAACAGCACATGACTCATTCTCCACAGTTTCCTGTTGCGGTAAGATCAGACATTCAGAGCAATCTTGAGAAAATGGTTTCTCAGAGAGTGTTGCAACGATCTAATGCTCTTCCATAGGACAAGACTAGATTGATGCTGCATAATCTATAGCATAGATGAAGAAACGTTTCGGTTTTGCTTGAAAGTGGTTTCCCCCGAGGGTGGTCTGGCTTCCCCCGAGGCTGCATGCTTGTGATGGCAGGTTTGATGCCAGTTATGGAGGTGACTGCAACCAAAAGGAGGTGGGACGCTGAATGTCCCCACTTACTCAGCCCATTATGGGAAAGATGGCACGAGGGGGCTTGGCCACGATTCCTGACATGAGACATGCAGCTGTGCCCCTTGCAGAATAAGCGGCATGGTCACATTCCCCTGATGTCATTCAGTTCTGGCTGGTGCCCTGGGACAATGATTCTTCCAAA